CAGCAGATATAATCAATGGGTTGCCTTCACCAAGCGAAATTGGAGTAAACGCCTCCATTGTCAGTACGACCAAGACTGGCTCCGTGTTGGTCCGCATGGATAATAGTAGTGATGCCACGAAGGTGATTGGATGGCAAGGGCTAAGAGACAGTGGCCTTCAAGCCAAACTTGCCTTGAGGAAGAAACCTAGATTGGAGGTCCACGGCGTCCCCTCTCATGGAATTCAGCGGAGTTGATGAAATTTTCATAGGAAAGAATATCCGAGAAGTCGGTCCCCACTCCGCTGGTCGTTGATGATATCCGGCCACTTTTTTCCTCAATGGCTAGAAATGGCTTTACAAAGAATTATGTGATAGAAGTGCACCATACAGTTCGGTTCCTGCTGTTGGAAATAGGAAGCTTAGATGGAGGATGGTGGAGTATTACAATCAAAGACTACCTCGACGCTCCTCGATGCAGTAAATGCCAGGGATATGGGCACTCTAAGGCCACTTGCATATCAAATGCCGTAGTCTGCATTTGGTGCGCGTCCACTGGCCATGATATTAAAGATTGCCCTAAGAAAAAAGAACTGGCTAGCCCATCATGCATCAACTGCGAGCGGGTGAATGCGCTTGCTAGTCAAAGGAAGCACAAGGCGGGAAGTCGGGAGTGCCCTGCGCACCTGAAGTGGGCTAAACAGGTAGCGAAGAGGACCTTTTATGAGTGAGCTTACCATCCTCCAGCTCAACATGGGGCGCCGGCATATAGGGGCAGACGAACTCCGGGCTCTTTATCCGCGCTACGATGTTATGGCCGTTCAGGAACCGACCTCCCGTGGGAACTTAGTAACGGGGTTTGGCCTCACATCGAGAGTTATAGCTTTGGGCAGTAGAGTGAGGAGGCCAAGGGCTGCTATTGTGATTAATAATCCTAACCTCGATGTGATGGATCTGAGGCAGTATACCACGGCGGATTGTGTCGCATGTCATATCAAATGGCGTAATATTTCCTTTACGCTAGTTTCATCATACATGCCTGATGGAATGGACATAGAAAGGGACATAACCGCCGTGGAGATGATCACGGCTTGCACTCGGAACGCGATCATCTGCTCAGATACCAACTCTTGGAACACGGTCTGGGGGTCCAATCGAACCAATAGAAGAGGCGTCCAGCTCGTTGAATTTATAGCAAGGAGCCAGCTACTATTCATAAACGATTCCTCCGCTATCCCAAAGTTCCCCAGTGCAAGAAGCCACAGCTGGATCGATGTGACTTTGTCATCACCGGTGCTGGCAAACCGCATCATCGATTGGACCCTTCGATGTGAGACGGGTTCCGACCATCAGGCGATATCTTGTAGGCTGCTGGAAAGTTCATTTAGTTTCCATGGCACAGACAAGGGTTACATAACCCGAAGAAAAGATTGGAGCACCTTCCGGTTGACTCTAGAGGGAAAATTGGTTGATGAGGAATGGGATGAGGCCGACATGGATCAGACTCATGATCTGTATTAGAGAGTATCCAGGATCACAACTGTCATCCGTGATGCTGCTGAAGAATCCCTCCAGCATCGGAAGGCGAGAGCTCGACCTGTCCCATGGTGGACGCCGTCCTTAACTATGATGAAGAGAGACCTCTACAAGGCCCGGTGGTCGTACCAGATGTGTATTTGTGACGAGAGGCATTACACTTCGTGACGAGTACAAGTCTAAAGCCAGGGCATATCGAAATGAGGTGCGCTTACAAAAGCGGAAGTCTTGGGACGAGTTCATTGTTGAGGAGCCATCAAAGAATCCTTGGGGTATTCCTTTCAGAGTGGCTCTGGGTAAGCTGACACCACAACAAGTGAGTGCTGCGCTCAAGTGCGGAGCTACCCATGCAACCACTCTGAAAGAGACATCGAAGATGTTTATAGCAGAAATCTACCCCAGAGATGATTCGCCGCAATATAATGAAGAAGAGGAATTCATAAGGCTCACTACGGTATGTCCACCTGGTACGGACTTGTGCCCACCATGGGACATATGGGATCTCCGTGCTGCTGTGGACAGGCAAAGGACTGGTCGTGCTCCCGGTTTAGAGGCAATCGATGCGGCTATGCTAAAGAATAGTATCGCCTATATCGAAGATACATTGTTAAAGTTATTCAATGATTGCCTCGATAGGGGATACTTTCCACGAAATTGGAAAATTGCCGAAATAAGGCTCCATTACAAGGGAGGAGACAAGGACAAGCAATTAGCCAAGTCTTATAGGCCTATATGTCTCCTCCCTGTATATGGGACCTATATGGGACCAGAACCTTGACACATGGAGGAGAAGGAACAATAAAGAACTGTTGAAAGAAACTGGTCAGTCAATATCTCATGACATGAAGCTCGTAGTAAACCATCAGGACGCCTCTACGCGACAATGAATGCCAGAGTAGTAGGCAAGAGACCACGTGGGAGGCCAAAAACCAGATGGATAGATAAGATTAACAAAGATACGGCTGAGCTTCATACCTCAAACTGGAAAGCAGTAGCCCAAGATAGGCAGAGGTGGAAAACGCTGGTTCAGGCGGCCAAAGATCTACAAGGCCTGTAGAGCCAACCGGAAAAAAACAAAAAAAACAAAACAAATATATATATATATATATATATATATGGTGATGCCATAAGTCGGTTGGCCAAACCACCTTACCGTGCACCCCTATCCATCTCCCTACGAATTGCATATCTTTGTGTTCCTTATAACTATTCATTAAAAAAAAACCAATGATCCTCCCTTCCCCCCCCCCAAAAAAAAGTAAACGCATTGTCCCAAAATGGCTTCTAAACAGGTCGGAATAATGGCTTTGACTTGAGCATTTGACTTAATTTCGTGGAAGGTTAGAGAATAATAAAACATGAAATACATTATAAAAAAAATTGGCTTATGCAATAAAAAAAACCAGTAAAGTTAATTTTTGTAGATTTTTTTTTCAAGTTGGAAACCAAACGTCGTTTGTAATTAAACGGATAACAATAAAGAAAAAACGTCCAGAAAAAAAATCTGGAGAATTGCTTTGGCTCAATTAACGTGTATTTTTATCTTCTTAAATTGGAAAAGCATGAGGTAAAAGTAAAAAATGGTATTAGGTATACCTTCGCTATCTGGGACAACTGTCCGGCGCTAGGAACTACAGTACCCGCAGCTCACTTTTGTTGTGCCTAATAGTAGTCGTCTATGTTGGTAATGACTAAAAGTAGTAAAGAGAATGTAGTCTGCGGGCCTGACTTCACCCTCCCCCCCCCCGTACTGTGGGGTAAATTTCGAATACAAAAGATTTTACCTAACAAAGAATTTTTAAAAACTTATGTACTTTGTAAAGTAAGAAAGAAATAGTTGTGCAAGTTTCTTGAATTATGAAATTGTAAAATTTGGTCCCCATTATTGAAATTTTATGTGTTCCACTCTCCTTCCCCTAGAATGCATTTTTCTATGTCTTTTTATTGTAATAAAATATATATTCGTTGAACCAAATAATGAATAATGATATTCGTTTTCTTTTCAGAGATTTTTGTTGTTCCTTCCTTGTTCTTTTACTATATTTTTTTAATTTTTGGGTTCAATATCACATTTTCCCTCATTTTGAGGCCAAATAAAAACTATTAGTTTCTGTTACCTTGAAGAACATTTAGCTTTGCTCTTTCCATTTTATTTGTCCAGAGAGAATAAAGCATTTATTATTATAATTTTTTATGATATGTCAACACCTCAGAACATAATGAAGGAAATAAAAAGATGAAATTATTTTTTTATTAGTGACTATTCATTATATGTAATTCAGATTGTGTATATATTTTAGTCCATAAAAGAGGTATTAATATCACTTATTACCGGGATAGTACAAACGATTTAACGTACTTCTTAGAATCAGTAAATATAAAAAAAAGCGTTAAAATGAAAACTTAAAAAAAAAAAGAAGAACCAAGATCTTATTTAAGGAACATATAAGCCCTTACACTTTCATTTTTTTTTTTATTTTACTGATCTCTGTCCCGGCAGGAATTAACTAATGATTGAATGGGATATAGCTCTATTGATGTTTATTATTTTCCAATTAATTCTAATTAAAAATATTTCATTTAATATATGAACATAATATTGGCCTATATTTTTAACATCAGATTTTAAATTGGCCGAGTTATTTATATTTTTATTAATATAAATTGATTCTAAAGTTTTTCATATTTTATTGTTTTATGCCGTGTTTATAATTTTTATATTGTTTAAATCAAATGTGTGTTTGTTTAATATGCTGTGATTGAATAAAGCTGTGGATTTTATGTTTTTCGCGTCCGTTTTGTGTTATTTTATCCTGTTTCTTAACTTTTGCGATGTTCCCCCAATATAATGTTTGGGACATTGTATACAAGGAATTTCACGTCTTTTTATCTGTTGCATTGATTCTATCTTTCATATTGGATATGTGTTTTTCCAGTTTGTTTCCGTTGTATAGTCTGAATTTGAGTTTGTAATGATCATATTTTTTATAATAATAATAATAATAATAATAATAACCCGCAAGGGCAACTGTTGAACGCAGTTGTTGGGGTATTACGCTCCCCCGGGTTCCTGAGTACATCATACCGTTCACAAACTCACACATTACAGCACACAATAACACAAACACCGACAATAGGGCATTTTCAGTACACACCTTAGGGCAACCTTACCTAGGAAGGCCTGGCAGAAGGTTTAAAATGCAATCACCCATCAAAAATGGAGCTAAGAAATCGACGTATAGCCTCGGACGAGCCTGGGAATGAAGCTGCACCTGGCGGGAACCTTCGACAGCTTCCTTCAGGTAGTGGCGGAGCAAATGGCGCCACCCTGTCGCAATGGACCACAAGACTGCAAGAATCGTCAACTAGTTCGAGTTCGGGCTTGGGCGAGACCATTTCTCCTCCCGCACGAACCTGGCAACAGAGGCCAAGAGGTGCTCGAAGGATGAAATGGACGCCAGAAATGAACAAGGCAGTCATTCAAGCATGTCTTTTGGCAACACAATTAGAAACAGACAAGACAGGATACCTCAGTAGGATTCAACAGTATTGGCAAGAATTATATCCATAGACTATAAGTACACAAAGACTCAGTGATCAGGTTAGAGTAATCCGGTCGAGAAAATTTCTCACCGCAGTAGAAATGGATAATATAAAAGCAATCGTATCAGAACGACAAGGGATAATTGCTGCTGAGAATGAAGAGCGACCAACTGATGTTATAGAACTCATAGAAAGATCATTGGCGATGGCGGCAGTTTCTTCAGAAGAAGAAGAAGACAAAGGGGTACAAAAACTGATTCTGTCACTGATATCCCAGAAATACCACATGATGTTAGACCCACCCTATCAAGGATTCCTTACAACTTTAGATCCCGGATGACTGTGAAAAACGTTAATGCATCTTTAAATAAACTTATTATTGACTACCCTGAAATGGACATTGAAGCTGTTTGTCATTGGGCTTATGTTGCAGCCAGAGTCGTTATTATCGAACTAGGTTTAGGAGAAGATAAGGCTTTGGGAGGACAATGTACATCACAATGACGAAATAGACTGGCTAAAATCAGTGAACAGGGAACATCAGGAGGCACCTCAAATGCCTGATTTTGATATTTCAACAGAAGAAGTAGTCTTCGCTACAAAGAAAATGAAAAATTGGAAAGCTCCGGGCAGTGATAAAATTCAAAATTATTGGTTGAAAAACCTAACCTGTTTGCACGAAATACTTGAGATAAACTATAAAAAAATTAAGAGAGGACAAATAGACATTCCTAACACATTCTGTCAGGATGTTACCGTTATAATTCCTAAAAATCAGGGAGACCTATTGGAACCACAAGACTTCAGGCCAATTACTTGTCAACGGAGTTTATAAGATTTTAACATCCATTCTATCAAGTAAGATTGAATGTCACCTAAGATCCAATAATTTGATCCCAACAGAGCAACTTGGTTGTAGGAAAGGATCCCAAGGCTGTAAGGAGCTGTTGCTCATAGACTCGTTTGTTACAGGCCAAACGATCGCGAATAAAAGAAATTTGTCAATAGTATGGATTGATTACAGAAAGGCATTTTCGCGGTCCCTCACAGTTGGCTTTTAAAAGTATTAGAATTGTATAAAGTTCATCCATGTTTAACTGAACTTCTGAAGAAATTGGAAAACTAGATTGAGGATAGGACATGAGCAGCAATCAACAGATCCTCGGGACTACATTAAAATTTCGGGAGGCATATACCAAGGAGACTGCCTCAGCCCCCTTTGGTTTTGTCTTGCAATGGCTCCACTATCAATTTTATTAAATCGAGAGAGAAACGGATACAAAATAAAACTCAATGAATTGAATGCAGTAATCGGCCACAGTTTTTATATGGACGATTTAAAACTTTATGCAAAGAACAAATCTCAGTTACAATCTATGTTAAATACTGTAACTGAATTTAGTAACTCAATACACACGTCACTTGGTATTGATAAATGTGCTGTTCTTCATGTGATTAAAGGGAAGCCAAGTAACTCCATAGTAACATATTTAATGAAGCATTGCATATTAAACACCTAAAAAATGAACAGCTATATAAATATCTTGGGATAGAACATCATGTTAAAATAGCGAGCAAAGAGGCAAAAAACAGACTGATAGAGTCATTGAAAAAGAGATTGAAAATTATTCTAACAACATACTTATCCTCAGGTTCAAAAATAAAATCTGTAAATACTTGGGTTATACCAGCCATTTCTTAAAGTTTCGGAATTTTAAAATGGTCTACAACTTCACTCCAGGAATTGGATAGATTTATACGGACGAGTATGACTAAATATAGAATGCGTCACCCGACTGCATCTATGGCAAGACTTTATTTACCAAGAAAAGAAGGTGGTAGAGGTCTCATAAACATTGAAGAGGCGTGCCGGAAACAAGAAATGACCCTCAGAGAATACTTCAAACAAAGTGAAGTACCTTTTCATAGGATAATGTGCAATCTCGACCATGGACACACAGCATTACAATTAGCCACTCCAGAAACTGCTGCATCCGTAATTTTCACGGACAATGACCGACTGGAAGAATGGAAGTCAAAAACCCTGCATGGAAGATTTTTCCACCAACTCCAACAAACTGAAATAGATAAAACATTCTCTACTAGTTGGTTGGTTAAAGGAAATCTGTTTCCCGAGACAGAGGGTTTTCTGATAGCAATCCAAGATCAGGTCATAGCAACGAGGTCTTACTTGCGACATGTCTTGAAAGAACAGACAGTATCAGACAAGTGTAGGGTCTGTGCCAGCACGTTCGAGTCTATTCAGCACATAACTGGAGGGTGCGGAGCGCTGGCTGGTACAGAATATCTCAAGAGACATGACGATGTTGCAAAAATTTATCATCAGGCAATTGGTCTAAAAATAAAGTTAGTGAATGATTCAATACCTTATTATAAGTACAACCCTAAAGAACTTATCCAGAAGGAAGGAATGAAATTGTATTGGAATCAATCTTTTATAACAGACCATACTGTGCTCCATAACAGACCTGATATCGTGTTGTTCGACAGTATTATGAAGACAGCTGAGATAATAGATATCGCTGTACCGAATGATGGGAACACCAACTCAGTCTGCGCCGAAAAAATTCGGAAATATCAAACTCTTGCAGCCAAGTTAAAAGATCTCTACAGACTGAACAAAGTGACAGTAAGGGCTTTAGTGATCTCTAGCAATGGGCTGATTCCAAAATCCACTGTAGAAGCTACCGAGAAGTTGGGCCTATCAACAGCTACGATAAATGAAGCCCAGAAAGCTGTGCTGCTGAACACTGCGAGAATAGTAAGGAGCTTCCTTAATATCCAATAAAACTACAAAAATTAACGTGAAGTGGTTGAAGTTAATTCTTCCCCACTCCAGGAAAATACCTTTTTTTAAAGCGATAAAAATAAACAAAATAATAATAATAAAAGGCTTAGCGAACCCGAAGGTTCGATGCCGACACCACCAATCGCTTATTACACACCTCCCTCCACCGTTCGCCGTCCAAACCCAGTCCCTTCAGATCGGCTTTAATGCAATCTTCCCACCTTCGCTTCGGTCTACCCCTCGGACGCTTACCATTCGGCACAGCAAATATTAACCTTTTAGGAATTCTCTCGTTACTAAGCCCAACAACTTTACAAGCCCATTTGATTCGCCGCGATGAAATTACCTCAATTATATTACCCGGATACAGTTCACGCAATTCGGCGCTGTGTAACCGTCTGAACTCTTCAGTTAACTCATCCTTCTTCGGTCCGAATATTCTACGCAATACTTTATTTTCAAAAACCTTAAGACGCTGCTCATCCCTTAATGTAAGCGGCCAAGTTTCGCATCCATAAAGAACTGTTGGCAAGATAATTGTTTTATAGATTCTAATTTTTAAGTTCCGGGACAAGAGGCGCGAACTAAGTAGTTTTGTCAGAGAAAAATAACAAGCATTTCCCGACTTCAGTCTAACCTTAATCTCTTCTTCAATTTCGTTTTTTCTAGTTATCGTAGAACCTAGATACCTAAATTTATCTACCTGTTCAAACATATTACCATCTATATCGATATCACCAGTAGTATCGCCATTTTTGCAGCTAACCATATATTTTGTTTTATCCACGTTTATTTCGAGTCCTAGTTTTTTACCGGCTTTCATTAACGTTGTTGTATTTAGTTTTATAGTTTCAACGTCTTTGCTTAACATTACCAGATCATCAGCATAGCCCAGCACGGATATAGTCCCACCCAGATCCAACCGTTTCTTGGTACGCATTACCTCCCTAATGGCATGTTCTAATGCCAAATTGAACAGGATAGGCGAAAGGGAATCCCCCTGTTTTAAACCTGAACGAACCTCAAATTTTTCCGACAGTTTATTATCGATTTTAACTTTATTGAGTGTCTTCGTCAAGCAGAACCTGACTAGATTTACTAGTTTTTTTGGAATCGCCTGCTCGATTAGAATATAATGTTTAAACGTCGTACTTTTAATTATCAGGTTTTTCGAGATGACAAAGTTTATCAGTCGGATCCCAATATCATTACTATATTCGTGCAAACTTTCTTTACCAATCGTCGGAATGTAAACTTCTTCCTTTCCTACCTTTGCGTTCGCGTCACGTATAATTATTTTCATGTAGTTTTGCGGTAGTTTATTATAAACCCATTCGAGTTTATCGTAAAATTCACATATGACTTCATCGTCACTGTTTTCGGTCGGACAATGTATGTTTATTAATGCGATTTTAAACCAACGTCCCTGAAATATAGCTTCCGATATTCTATCACTAAAGAATTATACGTCCCTCAAAGCGGGTAGTAATTTACTCCTAATTAGAAACCAGGTACCCAAACAATGATTCCCGCTTCCTCCGTACCAAATAGTGTACTTTCCTTCCGTCATCGAGCCCTCCCCTGACCAGCGAACCTCTTGCAGAGCCACGACATCCAGATTGTACCCATTTACCTCATTCGCGACCGATTTTAGCCCCCCTGCTGTGTTTAAACTCCTTACGTTCCACGTACCGATATTTAAATCCCTATAGTTCAATTTGCGCCATGAATCCCCTAAAGCAGGTCCCACCCGGAGACCCGAACGGGGGACTAGTTTACCTCCGGATAATGAGCGTTTTACTTTAGGGAGATCCATGACTATTTGTGGTGTTTGGTGAACTAAAGATATGTGAGTAGGGCGTTCAATCCTACGTCACACCCTCCAGCAAGTCTGGTGGGCCCCTACCTCCAGCAAGTCTGGAGGTCCCCTACCTCCAGCAAGTCTGGAGGTCCTCCCCTCCCTCCAGCAAGTCTGGAGGTCCCCTCCCTCCAGCAAGTCTGGCAGGCCCCTCTCATTGTTGGTCAGCGAGTCCTTCGGACTTAGCCGGGAGGAACTTCCAATCAATTTTCACCGACCATCCCCACATACGCCACCCGTGGGACGCTCCCCATACGCGGTAAATTTTTTATAAACATTTTTTTATTTTTTCCGTCAATTTTGGAATGTATTTTAATTTGTGGTATATATTACATTTCCTGTATTGTTTTTCTGTATTCTTTTGATTGTCATCCATTGCTTTTTCCTCGTCGTCCAACACTTGAAAATAATCCGTTATAAGATTTTTATTCCTTTTATTCGTATTATTATTTTTTATGTTTACATTATTTTTAGGTGTTGTATCTCGGCCACTAACTTTCGTATCATCATTATTTTTATTATTTATATATTTATACCATAGTTTATTGACAAATTTATATGGATAAAAATTACTCACCAAAATGTTGCATATATTGTTTTTAACCTTCTTCATATATTTGGTATTAGTTAGTTAGATAGCTTTATTAATCAGATTACCGACAGTATTTATAAT